GACCCGCCTGGCGAGGCTGAGCAGCCCAGGGCATCTCTTCAATTGCAGCTCGGAAGCGTTTCAGAAAGGTGGCCGGAAAGGGGCAAAGAGAGTAATGATTGTAATCACAGATGGAGAGTCGCACGACAGCCCAGACCTGGAGAAAGTGATTGAGGACAGCGAGAAGGACAACGTCACCAGATACGCGGTGGCGGTAAGTGGGGGGGACCCTCTCGGCAACAAACGGCTCCAAAAGCCGTGCAGAGCTCGGCGGTGCCCCGTGCACCCCAATGCAATGGGGCTGGCAGTGCAGCCCACCTCCAGCACGCCCGACGCGTTTGCAGGGTTCCTTGTTGCTGTCCCTGCTTTTGCAGGAGGCGGTGGGACGCTCGGCTCTGGATTCGGCTGCTGGAGCAGGGACTGTGGGGGGGAAACAGGCAGGACCCTGCATCGCACCAGGCACCCGAACCGCACGAGGGGTGCCCAGGCTGGGCTGCCTGGAGCAAATCCTCGCTCCCCAGTTTGCTCCTGCAATGGGGTGTCAGATGCCAAGGCTGGCAGGCTCCTTCCATACAGACACCCCTCACGTGCTTTGGGACAGCTCTATCCGTGGCATGCAAACCACTGAGTCTTGCATTTCTATTTCAAACCTAGGTATTGGGTTATTATAACAGAAGAGGAATCAATCCCGAAGCCTTTTTAAACGAGATAAAATTTATAGCGAGCGACCCGGATGACAAGCATTTCTTTAATGTCACAGATGAAGCAGCACTCAAAGACATTGTGGACGCGCTGGGGGAAAGGATTTTTAGCTTGGAAGGTGAGTGATGCTCCTCCCTGACACATCCCAGCCGGCCAGGCTGCAGCGGGTTGCTTCAGATGTGCTGTCGGTCCTCGGTTTGCTGAATTTGAACAGGTCACACTGGGGGTTTCCCTAATATCTGTTTGATACAGAACCTAAAACCATACTTTGAATACCTTCATATATAAAGAAATGTCTTTATTTTGAGTGGCTTGCATCCCTCAAGCGTCAGGAGTACAGATGCCCTCTCCTCGAAAAGTGACCCCTCATTTTTGCAGCCGTTATTTGCAGAGCTGTGATGGCTCTGTCATTTACAGGAAACCTCTGAAATTTGCGTGGGGGTTAGCTGGGTGTCAGCATCTTTCTCGCCCATCAAACTCCATTTAAACCCAGCCGGGCTATAAACAGGCAAAACCCACACACCGACTGCCGGGGACTCCCTGGGGTGGCAGACATTGCGGGATTATGGGAATAATGTGGGGTTTTATGGTTTATTGGCTGAAATTAAATATCAGGAAATATTTTTGTTCTAAATGACAGCACTTCTGTCTGCCTTGTGACAAGTTTGTTGGTCTCCAGAACTAAATTTATCTAAATGTCATAGGAAAAGCGCAACCTGGGATGAACAATTGAAACAGAAGATGGAGGGCTTTCACTGAAAATTAAACATCTCAGGGTTTGGGGGAATTTTGGTCAAATCAGCTCACAAACTCCCCACCAGTTTGCCAGTTCCCTTGGTGCAGCCAGCCCAATGCTTCTCAGTGGAAGAAAGCTTCCCTGGGTGAGAAGCTTCACCTAGATGCAATTATGAAGCGAAATCCTCTAAATCCACATTTTTGTGTAACTTTGCAACTAGGAAATGAGACAACCCCATCGTGGCAGAGCTCCCAGTCTCTATTAGCAGCACAAGTTTGTGTAATTGTGGTGATTCAGGGAGAAACAGGCTCATTTATGGCAACTGAGGTCCCCTGTGCTCCAGGGTGCTCATCCCACCCCAACCCACCGAAGCACAGCTCAGCCCCTCCAGGAAAGCAAAGCTCTCCATTAAATACAAATTCTGCCCCCCCACACCCTTTATTTTTGTTTGTTTTTTTAAGGAACCAACAAGAACGAAATCTCCTTTGGCCTGGAAATGTCCCAAACTGGCTTTTCATCGCACGTTGTGGAAGTAAGAGAGTAAATGTGGGGTTTTTTTTTTTCTCTTGTCTGTGCAAGCAGATGCTGTGTGCTTTCTATCATCAACTGCAGCTGCAGGTGGGGAGACGGGTATTTTGGACAAGTTATTAATCATAAAGCTAAATTTCTCACTCGAGCATAAGGAAGAAAATGCTTTTGCTGCTGGTTTATCTCATGGGGAGCTGCTGGCAGACCGGTGCCTTCCTTAGGACCAGCCTGCAGCAGCTCCTCGCGATGCCACCACGACCTCTTGGAAAGGACGTGCTGGGATGTGCCATGGGGGAAGGCGCTTGTCGGTGGTGGGATGCAGAGGATGGGCAGTCCCCCTCCACCCACCAGCTCTGCGGGCTGGCAGGTCCGAGCGAAAAGCCAGCAGGGATTTCTGCTCGGGCTTTTCCTGGGGAGGAAAAGCACGGTAAAAAGATATGGATGGGGTGGAAATGTCATTCCAGCATGTTTAAAAATCTCCATCATTCCAGGTGTGCTTTGGAGAATGGATGGCTTGATTATTTTTTATTACTACTAGTACTGACTATTTTTTTGTTTTCCATTTGTGAGATTTCTGCCCTTTTCTATAAATTGTGTGATTTCTGGGAGGGACCATGTGCTGTTTTCTTCTTTTGCACTTTGCAGCCTCCAATAAGCATATATTCTAGGATTTGGGCTTTGAGGGACCCCCACATGTGTTCTCACACAAAACCAGCCCATTGGGTCCCCTCGTCCATCTCAGCATGAATCGGCTTTGCCCACATGGGCAGCGTGGCGGAGAATTGTCTCCAGTTGGCAAGAAATACCCTCAAACCACTCCTGCTCTCCCGCAGGACGGGATCTTGCTGGGGGCGGTTGGTGCCTACGACTGGAACGGAGCCGTCCTGAAGGAAACCAGCAGCGGGAAGGTCATTCCCTTGCGGGAATCTTATCTCCAGGAGTTCCCGGAGGAGCTGAAAAATCACGGAGCGTATTTAGGTAAGAAAGCCGAATGAGGCTCTGCTGCCAGGGCTGAATTCATGATTTTATGCTTAATAATAGGAAGCACAACATATTTCTCAAATGACTAATAGCAGCCAGCGCTCCCAGTGTAGGCGGTCCCATTCCCGGCTGTTTGCGAGCTCCCGTCAGCACGAGAGCTGTGTTGCCCCTTGCTCGAGGATGCAGAGTACGTGAGCATCCTCACCCGGGGAGAGTCCGGTGTTGACCATGGTGTGCAGCACAAAAGTGATTTAAATGCAGAAGTAGCTCAGCCACTGGCCAGCCTGGGTCATCTACAGCACTTACTGGAACGGTTTAAAAGCACTGATGAAATTTCATGCCTAGGGAGGAAATACCTGCTGGGTTAATCCATTCCATGTGTGGCCGTTGAAGCCCCGGAGTAAAAATATCAGCCTAGTTTGCAAAATGAAGCCTGTCTCCGGAGATGTGCGTGCCAGGCTGAGCTGCCCCGTGGCAGGGAGCTGGGGGAGGGGATGCTGTGGGGTCATCTGCCGGTGTGTGGGGCTCTCCCCTCCTCTGGGGACATGGACAGCCCCCGGACACGTGGGTCATCTCTTGGGGTGACAGCAGGGTGGCCCCAGGGCTCAGCTGTGAACGCTTGGAGCAGGGACAGCTGCAGCTGTACAGGGGGTACCCATGACAGTACGGGGAGCTCAGCTGGGCTCTGTCTTTCCCATTGCCTCGAGTAAGAAAATCCGAAATATGAAGGAAATCCGGTGCATCCTGCTGCGGAGCAGCCCGGCTCACCCAGCACCAGGACCTTGGGGTTTCAAGGCTGGTGCTTGGCTTAGGAATACCCACCCAAGAGGGGAATATTTAGGGAGACAGAGACCCCAGGCAGGGCCAATGGTCAGGGAAATGGGTCCATAAACCCCAACAATCCCTGGAGATACTCAAAATGTGACCCTAAGTGATCTGATCCAGCTTCAGCGTTGGCCATGCTTTCAGTTTCTAATAATTTAAGTAGCATTTAAAACCGACTGTGAACGTACAGGAACCTGGAGCTGGGTGTGAAAATGGGATTTTGCAGCCCCAGTGTTATATTCCTACATAAGCCCATCCGCAACCGCGGGCAAGTGCCACAGCCCAGTGTGCGACCTGCGGTGTTGGTGATCCCGGTGCAGAAAATAACCCTTCTGGGTAAGAAAGAGGGATTGCTCAGGGTCATTCTCTTACGCAGGGTTATTTCCTTGAGAGCTTATGATCAACGGTCTTGATGGTTTCATGGCTTTTATTGGACTGTGAATGTTAACGTCAAGCATCAGCAAAGTCTGTCACGCTTGGTTTCGGATGCGGCGTTACCGGGGTCTCGAAGGAGCAGAGCAGCGGGTGCTGCAGCCTCCCAGCGTGCACACACCTTGCTAGCGTTTGTTTAACTTGATGTCAGCCATGAAGTAAAACACTTATCAGGCTGGGAATTGGACTCGCCTTCCACAAAAGAAGGATTTTGCATGGGGTTCGCCGGCTGCATTAGGCAGTGCCAAAACTCCTGGTGCAGCTGCACTGCTCAGGGTGTAGGTAGGACCCGAGCAGGCGGCTCAAAGCCCAAGGTCAGGGCACGGGGGTTTATTGAAATGACTTATCTTTGAAGAAATCTGGGTTTCCAGCTTCCTGATCTGGGCGGCAGCCAGAGTTGTGTCGGCAGCTGCGGGCTAATGGGAAGCAGATCACTGGGCAGCGGCTGGGAGCAGGCAGGGAGCTGCTCAGCCGTGCTCACCCCTTCCAGGTTACACCGTCTCCTCCGTCATATCCACCAAGCACGAGCGGATTTACGTCGCGGGAGCACCCAGGTTCAACCACACTGGGAAAGTCATCATTTTCAGCATGCACAACAACCGGAACCTCACCATCCATCAGGCGCTGAAGGGAGAGCAGGTAATGCCAGGGGACACGCTGCCAAGGATGCTGTGTGGATTTTTCCACCTGGCACTCACGCTCCTCCATACCTCCTCCCCTTTCATTTTGCAAATTGTTCTGTTTAAATGGCTTGGCAGTGTAACGCATCCACGGACAGTTGGGGATGTCCTGGCTGTTGCTGGACCCGCAGCTCCAAACCACGAAGCTGTATCAGGGACAGGGCTTGAAATGTCCCTGCGGTCCCCTCCGGGGAGGGTGACAGTGCCCCTGCACACGGGGAGCGTTGCTTCCATCGCCTCCTCTGTCTCCTCCAGATCGGCTCCTATTACGGCAGCGAGATCAACTCCCTCGATGTCAACGGTGATGGCGTCACCGACGTTTTGCTGGTGGGAGCCCCCATGTACTTCAGCGAGGGCAGGGAGAGGGGGAAGGTCTATGTCTACACCCTGCGGGAGGTACGTGGCAGCACCGCGGGGCGAGCTGGGGACGCCGCAGGGGAAGGGGCATTCGGGTGCTATCACAAGAACTGCACCGCATCTCCTTGTGTCGCCTCCCCGCAGTGGCTCCCGGCGCGGCCCCCCCGCGTCCCCCCCCCGTGGCCTCGGGCCGCCCCCCGCCAGCTTCCATCAAACGTCGCAGGGCACGGCAGCCCGGCCCAAAGGCAGAAGAGTTTGGCAGCGCCTCGCTGTTTCGGCTGCTGCAAGGCTCGAGGAGGATTTGCATGTTTTCCTTGTTTATAAACAATCTCGGGGGTTTGCTCGCTGCCAGTGAAGGAAGTCCAGCCTGTGCTGGAGCAGAGCCGCCTCGTCTCGAGACTTTGCTGCTCCCGTCCGGGCGAGCTTCCCAGCCCCGAGGAGGTGATGCGCAGGGTGCAAGTTCAGATCTTTGCAATATGGGTGTCTCTCCAGAGAAACAGTGCCCATCCACTTTGCCTCCCCCAAAACCATTCCCTCCAAGGGCACCTTCCTGCCCGGAGGCTGGGGCAGCCATGGGGTTGTGGGGAGCAGCAAGGTCGGTCCCTCCACCATCGCTTCAGGGCACAGACGGGATGTGTGCCACCCCCGTGCCCTGCCCTGGCGCCCAGCAGTGCTCTGGGGCAGGACCAGCTTTCCTGCCACCCTCAGATCTGGCTCAAAATGAGGTTTCTGAGCCAAATCCATCAGGCTTCAGGGGCGCACAGGGCAGCAAGCAGGTCATGCTCTACATCTGAGGCTGCAGAGCCTGCCAGCAGCACTGGGACTCCCCATATCTAAAGCACAGCTTTTTATGCCATTATTTATGTAGGTTGCTATTTTATAGCAAAAAGGAAGTTTTATAGCAAAAAGGAAGGCAAAGCAGGTGTGGGGCTGGCACGGGGCTCATCCACCGCCCCAGGAGGGCTCTCCCCTCCTTCCGTAGAGGAACTGCTCCCACATCACTGCATCTTGTTTGTTTGCCTTTGAGGGTTTTCTCCTCTTGTCACACTTGCTGCTGATGTTTTTTGGGGGGGAGTTTTTTACCTTTTCTCTTTGGCTGGCCCAGCAGAACCGCTTCGTTTCCAGTGGTGCCCTCGTAGATCTGCAGAGCTACCAGAACTCCCGCTTTGGCTCCTGCATCGCCGCCGTGCCGGACCTCAACCAGGACTCCTACAATGACCTTGTCGTCGGGGCACCTTTGGAGGATGAGCATCAAGGAGCGATATACATCTTCCTTGGCTTCAAAGATACCATCCTGAAGAAGTACAAGCAGGTATGGCTCTTGGGTGCTTCAGTTGTCCTCGTCCTTCATGAGAATAAATGTCATTTGTGCCCATTTTAAGGATTGATAAAGCACAATGAATTCACACACAGTATTGTATTGTTAATTATTATTGCCAGACGTGTTCTCTTGTGAGGGGTCCAAGACAAAGTAAATGTAGGATATGGAAAACACGCTTGAAATTAGGGGCAACGCTTAGCCCTCAGTGCAATGGATTACCATAGATAAAATACTTCTCACGCTTGTGAGAAATAGTAAATGTGCAGAGTAAATTCAGCCAAAATCTCTGGATGGTGTCTTTGAGGAGAAACTGCTCTCATTCCTTGGAAAATTATGTTTGGTGCAATCACTTCAGTAGCATGATGGAGGTCAGCGTGGCAAACTCCTCCTTGGCAGGCAGGGATGCTCCTGCTGGAAACCAGGCTGGATTCTCCCCTTTCCTTTCAGCGGATAGCAGCTGCGGACCTCGCACCAGGCCTGATGTACTTCGGATGCAGCATCCACGGACAGTTGGACATGAACGAAGATGGGCTCGTAGACTTGGCTGTCGGCTCTCTGGGGAACGCTGTGCTGTTGTGGTTAGCTGTATCTCGTTTGGCACTCTCCTCTGCCCAAAGCTCATTGCAATACACTGACATTTTTTGAGGGAAAACTGAACTTCCAGCAATCTGACCCATCTTTCCACAATAATGACCCCTTGTCCGGGGGGGCTGTGGGATTTCAATGCCGTTGGGCCCTAGAAGGATGTCACAGTTGGTTTTGCATTGAATTTCATCATTAGTTCCCCAGGAGTTTCAAACCAGCTCATTGATTTGTGGTGATTTGCCCAGGCTCCCTCCGGTCTAATTTAATAAGAGCAATTTAATATTTGCAAATATTGATTAATGTTTGGAAAGTGCCTCGAAGCTGTTAGGATGGAGGGTAGCTGTGCCCTGCAGAAATGGGCCACTCTGGGGTCTGCCTCAATGTTGAGAAAATGGGTGAAAAGGTGTGAAAAAGGTGGATCGGGAGGTGCGGGAGAGTTTTGGAGGCTGCTGCATATGTCTGCGTGCACCCTGTGCCCCAGCACATCTCCCAACCCTTGCTCACCCCGCAGGTCCCGCAGCGTGGTTCAGATCAATGCCAGCATCCACTTCGAGCCCTCCAAAATCAACATCTTCACCAAGGACTGCAAGCGGAACGGGAAGGATGCCACCTGCATGTCGGCCTTCGTCTGCTTCACCGCCGTCTTCCTCTCAGCTCACTTCCAGACGGCCAGCGTGGGTAAGCGGCATGGCTGCTCACGCAACAAAAACCCCAATTCATGTGTTATTTAGGTCTCCAGGCCTGAGGGAACACCCAGCTTCGGCCAAGAGAAACCATCCAGGAGCTTGGCATGTCTAGAAGAATGCACATTGCCATCTGCCACATCCCTTTTTACCCACAAATTTGTCCCTGTGCTGGCTGATGTAGCAGGGACAGTGGCTCTGCTGTTAAGCAGTGCCAAGAAACACCCCGAGGACACAACCTTACCCGTGTTTAACCTCTTCTCTCGCCTGTGCCCTGGGGCCAAGCTCTCCTGCAGCCTGCCTTGCCGTGGTACGTGTGACGGGGATGTCACCACCACCTCGCCGACCAGCGGGACAGGAGAGGATGTTCCCGGATCATGTCCCGCAGAGCTCATCCATCCTCCCTGCTGCAGGGGCACAACACATCTGCTGACCATATGTGCATATTTCCCTAATATCCCGGGGAAGCTCTGTGAAGTTATTGGCCAGCTCTGCTATTAAACCCTTGCATGTTGCTGTGACCCCGAGTCTACCCGACAGATGCCCGTGACTCAGCTGGAGCGGGGGGGAAGCAATGGCAGCTCAGCCCCCAGCAACCCGGCAGCAAACGCTGTCAGAGGGAAATCAGGTCCCGAGCGAAGCCAAAGGAAAAACATCCCATCCCCTAGAGCAAGAATTTTTATTTGTTCTGTCACATCTAGTGTTTTCCTCCTCCCTAGTATAATTGTGGAGCTCGCAGGACAAAAAGCTGAGTGAGGTTTTCTTTATTTGTTTAATTTTACACTTATTTCTACCCAGAAGAGCCCCCCTATGGACGGTGCATGTTGGGGGCTCCTGGTTGCTCTTTGCTGATGTACATTTTTGCATCACATCAGTGTAGTGGGTACAAATCTCCCCCTGCCTGGCATCGGGTTTGGAACTTCTGGTTTCTTTTTGACAGCACTGCGGGAAGCAAATGATCTCCGGTAAAGCACCTAGGAGAGGAGAGTTCTTCGGGGTACAATACCTCCAGAACTGATACTGGCCAGCATGTGAATGTATAAAAGGCGAATAGTTATATATCCTGCACAGATTTTACTCAATACCTTGTACCAATGCATTTTTAAAGTTCCTCATTTGACTTGGAGAGTGGACGCTCTGCCCAAAAGAAATGTCTGTTAGAAACAGGCAACAACAACTGTATAGCCCAATTATCCCGATTTTTCCCTTAGAGTTCTCCCTGCCACGCTCCTCCCAGTGGGACGATAAGGGTTTGAGTGCACAAAAGCCCATTTCTGACCTGGTGTTGCTATATAGCGAGCATAACCCCGGGGAGAAGCCCTGACGGCGCTGCTCTCCTTCCAGCACTGCGGTACAATGCCACCATCGACGAGCGCAGGTACACGCCGCGGGCTCACCTGGACGAGAGCGGAGAGCGGCACACGCAGAAGGGGCTGGTGCTGCTCGCCGGGCAGGAGCACTGCGACAGGCTCCAGTTCCACGTCTTGGTGAGTGTGAAGGAGGACAAAGCTGGGGTCTCCTCCTCTGCCAGCCCCGGGGGCAGAGCGAGCCGCCCAAGCAAAGATGCTCTCCCCCTTGTGCGAAACAGCGACGCGCCGGGATGCGGTCGGAGGAGCCTCAAAGGCTTCATGGGGCTGGAAATGAGCCTCATTCTCCAGCTCAAATTTTTTCAGGCTGGGTTTGATGTGGTCAGGGATGGATCTGCCGGCACGCAGCAGCTGCTGGGTCCCCAAGCACTGACTTCACTGCATCCCCAGCTTGCACTGTGCTCCTTTCTGTGAGCTGCTAGCCGTGCCCTGGGGGAGGGCATGCACTCCTGACACCCGGGTCAGGCTGGTCCTCCTGCTCCAAAATCAGTGACAACTCATTTTTTTCCATCGGGAACCAAATGCCTCCGTGCCAGTCCCTGGCACTCTCACCGTCCGTACCCCTCTGACCATCAGAGTCCCCCTCCCCAGGTACAGGAGCCAGCAAAACCCTCTGCATCACTCGCAGGGAACAGCTGATGCACAAACCTGGCCAAAATCAAACATTCCCAGTGAATGATGAGAATATTGCAGAGGCCAGGGAAAGCCAAGCTGCCAGACTGGCCCGGCCCCAAGCCCCGGCCTGAACTGCCGTGAACTTCTGGGAAATTTGAGTCTGGAGCTCGAGATGGAGCATTAGGTCAAGAAGCATCTCACTTCAGAGCATCTAACCGCACCTCGTGTGGCTGGGGCAATGTATGGGAAGAGCTCACAGAGCTGCAGGAAAGGTGTAGCTTTGCTACTGGCCAGACAAGCCCCAGGTAAATGTTACAGGACAGCTCTGTCCCCCCTGGGAGCCTGGCTCGGGGTCAGTCCCCCAGAGCATCCATCTTTTGGAGCCAGCGTCTCCAGGGTGAAGCATTTCCCACACCAGCAGACGGGTGTTGAGTAGCACCGCTGAGCTGGGGTTGTCCCTGTCCCGAGGTAAGGGTTAGCTGGAGAGACAGGATGATTACACACCAAGTATACTATATTGTAAAGCTTTTATTATATAAAATAATCACACGTGCCTGTAGTTCTGCCTTACCTTGCTTTCTGATGCTGCCCCTTCACGAGCAGGAGCCCGGTCCTTCTCAACGATGTTCTCTGTCCACCACAGGACACCGCTGACTATGTGAAGCCGGTGACGTTCTCCATCGACTACGAGCTGGAGCACCCCGAGAATGGCCCCATGCTGGACGATGGCTGGCCCACCTCGCTCAAGGTCTCGGTAGGTAGCGGCACCGACCTCCCAGGGTGCCTTTTATCAGGCATTTGGTCAGCAGATTTATCTCTGGACGTAACACTTGCTGCTTTATCACTGGACCCTCCCGTGATAGCAATGTGTTGGCATTCACTGCAGCCTGGGATCACCACCCATGTCCCATCTCCTTGGAGTACAACCTGGGGCTTGAAGCATCACCGAGCTGCTCTTGTCATCCTTCTCAGGTCCCTTTCTGGAATGGGTGCAATGAAGATGAGCACTGCGTCCCTGATCTGGTCCTGGATGCCAGAAGTGATGTGCCCAGTGCCATGTGAGTAGGTCGCTCAGAGCATCCTCCCAACCAGTATCACAAAAGGCAGGGGGCGGGGCTCCAAAACCTATCCCAACCCATGCTCCATAGATTCTGGCATCGCAGCTGGTCCTTCATCCAACGTCACCACCAGGTTCATCCAACGTCACCACGAGGTGCTCCTCGGCACCTCTGCTCGTAGCGTGTCTCTGAGCCTCTGCCTGCTCCCTGCCTGGAATGAATCAGTGGTTTTTCAGGGAATCCACAAAACAACTAATATTTGATGCCATGGTGATGAGCCCCAGGGAGACAAATCAGTAAATAACAGGGGGGAATAAATGCAAGGCTGGCATTACCCACTTGGCAATTACAGGCTTGACTCACGCAGCAGAAATAATTATACGCTACATCTGATCACTTAAAGAGCTTTTTAAGGTTATCTAGGAGCACAGGAGCCTGAACTTCTGCCTCCCGACAATGGCAGTGGGATCTGGACCGAGCTCATGGCCAGTGCTGCTACCTGGGGATCACTTGTATCCCGTAATTCAGCGTTTATTGCTCTGTCTCCTGTAAAGCTCTTGGTCCTGAGGCTGCAACCCAGGGCATGACTGGTTCTGGGCTACGCTGCCGGAGGTTGAAGTGAGCTGTAGGTAGGGGATTATTTATGGATCTTAGTGGCTGGAGTCCTACAAACAATCATGGGCAGACCCCAGGGTCTACCAGGGTGCCAGACTTCTAGTCCAGTTCCTCCTGAAGCCTGTGGAGCTTTCCTGATGGCATCAGTGGGCACCGGCCCGTGCCCTGCAAGAGCAGCTGATGTGGAGGTGATTTCTGCTGAGAAAACCACCTTTGGGGTGACGTGCTGGAATAGAGCTATTCCTTCAAACCGGGGCCCTGGCTGCTCTGCCGTCAGAGGCCGAAGGTGGCTCTGAAGGTGGCATCATCCTACATTTTCCTTTCCTTTTTTATTTTGCATAAAGAAAATAAATGCCCAAACACCCATCAAGTCTGTAAAAGTAGACCTTGCCATTGCCAAGTTTGTGCCGGTAAACTTACTGCGAGGTAGATCTCGGCCAGGCTGAGACTAAATGCCGGCTTTACCCTGTGCTAACGATGTGGGATCTATTTTTTCCTTACATCCCAGCTGTATTAAGGGCTCCTAACTGGGGCTGAGAAAACTAGGCACCGTTAGCCAAAAATCGCAAGCAAAATGATGGTCCACGGGCAGAATTTGTGATTCCTCTTTCCATAGCAGCGCAGCACGACGGAGGGAGAACAGGGGTTTCCTTGCGCTATCCTATGCACCGTGCAGATAAAATTCCTGGGGCTGGGTCTTGGCGCGGTGCTGCAGGCAGCTCTTGCCTGCACCGCTGCCCTCCTCTTGCAGGGAGTACTGCCGGCGGGCGCTGCGGAGGGCACCGCCGGACTGCTCAGCCTTCACCCTCTCCTTCGACACCTCCGTCTTCGTCATCGAGAGCAGCAGGAGGAGGGTGGCGGTGGAGGCGACGCTGGAGAACCGGGGTGAAAACGCCTACAGCACGGTCCTCAACATCTCCTTCTCCAGAAACCTCCAGTTCGCCAGCTTGATCCCCAAGGTGAGGCTGCCGGGGGAGATCCAGGGCTTTCCAGAGGCGCTTCTAATCCCGGATGGATGAGAAAGCCGTGTCTTAAACCAGAGCCCAAAAATGTCTCCATCCCTCATAAATCAGGCATGTTTATGGGCTTAGTTTCTAAGCACTTGAGGCCCTTTCAGCTCTTTATTTTGGAAATACAAAAACGTTTGAATTTTAAGAGCTTGAAAGAAGGTCAAATGCACATGAAATTATTTCCCTCTTTATTTTTCTACTCCAATAGTTTAAAAATACTTGCTGCACATGGCCAAGTTCCCGTCAGGGATGAATTTTTGCAGCTGAGATATAACTCCTGGAAGTACGGGCTGATAACGGGAACGTGGCCACAGCTCAGCATCGAGCCCGGCGATGCCACTTCCCTACGGCTGTCCCCTGGATGAGCCCGTTGTGCCCCATCCACTCCCCGATATTTCACCCCCACTACTCTCCCAGTCTGGGTGTGACTCCTCCCTTTTCCCAGCGAGGTTTGGGAAATATGCTGATGCTGCTGAGCCCTCCCTCATCCCCCCCAATGACTTCATACCCGCCCGCAGATCCCATGTCCTGCGTTTGTTTTTCTACAAGCCATGCCAAGGGAAAATTGTGGGGCATGTTGCCCACAAAATAAGAAAAATGCATTTTCTGAGATATTACTCCAAATTAAGTGAGGGGAAAAACCCTACGATGCTCGGTAACAGAAAGCACCATGCAGCGGCGGTTGCAGGAAATGTTTGTTGCTGGTTATAGAAGCATCACTCTGCTAACGGGTTGCTGGCTGCCGCTCCTTATAAATAAGCAAATTGCCAACTGGAAGGGATGGATGGTTGTGTCAGAGACTGTACAGAGACCCAAATAAAAAGTAGCCGTGCCCCAGAAAGTCTGTAATCTCAGGAGATGAGTGGGAGAAAGCTCTGGGCTGTTGCTGATGGCTGCCAAGGCATTTTCCCTGCCACTGGTGCTGGGTTGTTTCAGCTCCTGGCTAGGACTTGCCTGGTGGCAGCAGCTCGAACTGACACCCTTATGGGGTCTAACACATGGCCAAGAACTAGAATAGCTCATCATCTCGTGGTGAGGATGGACGCCTGCGTACAACCAGGCTACAACCTCTTGTAGGGTTACTACAGGAAGAACAGGGTCAGTGTCCCATCCCACCCCAGCCCGCACTTGGGCTTTGCGGTGGGCAGGAGCTTCCCCAGCCCAGCTGGTGAGCTGGAAGGTGTTCAAGCAGCAGGAACCTGATTGTCGAGATGAGCACATGGAATATTACTCCTTAGCTGGTGGCCATGCAGAATCATAGTTCGTGTTATCTCTTGATGCTTCCCTGTCACTCCTCATCACAGAAAAATATCCTTCTTCCCAATTATAGTGCCAAGAATAATCATCTGGTTTATTCATTCATCGCTGTAGTTAAATTTCTAAAGAGGTTTTAAATCAGAAGGCTGGAAGCCACTTGCTGGAAATGCCCCTCTCCAGGAATGGCCTTAGAAATTCAGCTGCATGGGAAGGAATCCCAGCCTGCAGCAAGCAGAAGGGTTCGTTGGTTGGTTGGTTTGGTTTTTCCAAACGTTAAAGCCTGTTTTGAGCCCCACGGGTGTGTTTGCTGCTTTCATAAAGAGCCAGGCCATGGGGCTCGTGCCCGGTGTCATGGACACGTCGTGCCCCATTTTAGGATGACACGGACATCAATATCGACTGCATGACCGAAGACAAGCACCCCAACAAGAAAGTGTGCAACGTGAGCTACCCATTCTTCCGAGCCAAGGCCAAGGTAAAGCTATTCCCTCCCCCAAAGTGAGGCTTCGCCTGTGGGACAGGAGCCCTCTGCCCCCAGCACGGCCCCCCCATCTTTGGGCTGGATGGCTTTGGACAGGCTTTTTAAAGATAAACACATGGTTTCTTCCCTTTTTCTGTCCATTGCTGGTGTTTGAAAGGCATTACAGGGGAGCTGGGATGGTTAGGACGCTGCCTTGATGCTAGGAGAGCACCAAAATCAAAGCCAGCTCCTCCCAGTCCTTTGGAGCAATTTAACATTGGCTTCAAAACACTCATGGTGACTTTCCCAGGCTCCTTTCTCACGGGACGAGGCACCCTTCCCTGCCTGAGAGATTTTCCTTGCTCTGAACAACCAGGGTCCCTTGAGGTCCCCCTCCGAGCCCGTCCAAGCCCCCCTGGGCTGGTGGCATCCTCCAGCCTCCAGCTCACAACGGTTCCCAGCGCTGGGTGTAAGCCCAGGTCCAGCGAGCACCATTTTTTATATGCCATAAACCCCTTTATTTGCAAATCTTACATGCGGCATTAAGGTGGGGAAGCAGAAGCGAGGCGATGCCGCTCTCTGCAATCACCGGGACTCGGTGGGAAATCCCACCTGCACCCCCGTGGGGGAAAAGGAGCAAATACAAGTGGGATCTAAAGATAAAATCTTTCCAACTGCTGTACCCGTCTGAAGCCTTTCCTTGTCGGAAGCTTGATAATGAGGGATGAGCTCCAGGCACCTCGCTAGGCTTTAAAGCTCCCAAAAAAGCCCTCTCGGATGCCTGTGGCCGTACACGAGAGCGCAGCAGCCCGACTCCCCATGACCTACGGGGGCTGAGAATGCATCTGCGTGGCATCAGGTAGTCCAGGTCCTGCCAAAACAAAGACAAGCTGGAAATGGAAATTTGGCCCAAGAGCAGCAGGAGCTTTAATATTATACTCAGCTGTGCAGTCCCAGACAGTTTGAGGTCATTGCCACAGCTCTTGCAGATGTGACATTTATCACATTTTATTGTTGTTGGCCGCTCTCCGGCTGCCTTCCCCCGCCAGCCGACCCCGTGCCGCAGATGGGAGTGAGCGGCCTCTCGCTGCAGGTCCCCCGGAGGGTTTCTTTTCCAAAGAGGGGGCTGCTCGCTTTTCCAATCTCAGAAAAAGAAAAAAAAAACAAAAAACCAACAACAACAACAAAACTGCAGTGTGCAGGGCTGAGAGCAAATCCTGCAAATCCCCAGCGTGGTCTCTTCTCTCCCTGGAAAGCCGAGGCTCTCTGCCCAAAGTCCAGCAGCATCTCGCGATGGGATCAGGGGGATGCTCTCACTCCTGGCCAGCACTTGGGGGTTTTTCACCCACCCCCTAATCTTTTCTCCAATCTGTTTCCAACCTCCACAGGTAGCTTTTCGCCTGGATTTTGAATTCAGCAAGTCGATTTTCCTTCAAAACATGGAGATCTACTTGATCGCCAACAGGTTAATGGTTGCTTTCTCCCTTGCACGCGTTTGCGAGGTCAGCGGGACGTTGCCTGCTTGCATTGGGTTTCCTTCTTCCGTAGCTGTAGGTGATGCTGGAGGCTTTACTCGGGGAATAACCACAAGGAAACCTGATTGCCATGGGTTACTACAGAGTGTGCAGCCCTGTATTCACAGACCAGGCTATTCTTATTGATCTATATATTTATATCCATCATTTTCCCATATATGTGGAGGCTGTGCAGTCGCTGCCAGGTTCTGCACTGAGCAGAACAGGTCTCGGCCACCGCTGCTTTCTCACCCGCCTTCACAACTGCAAATACTCCCAGGAAAAAATATCTCCTAACAGCTTTGCAAAATTCTCCTTGCTCACTTAGCCTGCACAGGTAAAATTTTCTGACAGCTGACTGAAATCTCATGAGGATATTTTTCATTTTCATCATTCAGAGGATTCGCTCTGCCGGGGCTGCTACACCACTTTAAGGCTGCTCTCTCCAAATGATCTGCTTTTATGGCCTTGGGCTAATAGAAGTTACAGAATAAAATTGTTTTTCTTTACACTTTGGCCAAAAAAAGCAAAATTTCAGTCGTTCCCCACCTGCAAGCTATGACCCCCCCAAAAAAAAATCAGAGGGGAGTCGGCTCCTGCCTCACCCCCTGCTTGCCCTGCTGCTGTTTCAGCGACAGCGAGGAGAAGGAGAGCACCAAGGAGGACAACTTCGCCCACCTGAATTTTCACCTGAAGTACGAAGCCGACCTGCTCTTCACCAGGTGCATGTTTGGGAAGGGGACGCAGCTTTTGGGGGGGGGGGGACACGGCTTGCAGGGTGTCCTTCGGGAAAATCAGTGCTGGCCCCAAGGGAGCTGCGTTCAAACAGAGCCCCGTGTAAATTGGGCTTTAATTTGGGGGATTTGGGTTCGGTTTAGAAAAGGGGCTGAAGGAACCATAAAATCACTCTGCAGTGATTCCTCGGCGCTGCACATCACACGCTCAGTGGGTCCTTATAAAAATCAACAGCAAGAAGCAGCGAGGTGCTGCGCGTTCATAGTGCTTAAATGCTCAGATCTTATTAAATATGTGTGAGGGCAATTTTTTTTTAAGGGGAAAAAGTACTTATAGTAGGTAATAATGTTCATAACATGTGCTACTAGCCAGTGTCTGGGCCGGTAGCCATCCCACTAAAAAAAAATCATCTCACCAGAAGCTCAGCTGAGGGATGCGTGTGGAAGGGTTTGAGCATCAACAGTAACTAGAGCAGAGAGTCCTCGGTCCAAGGAGAGCAGGGAGCTAAGGCACGGATGATAATTTATTAACCCGACTATAAGAAAAAAATGTGGACCCCAGAAGCACGTTCCCTGGCACCGCTTGCCGTAATTCTTAGCAGATTTTGAAGACCTTCAGTCATTTTTTATTTTTTTTTTTTTTACACTAGAGGCAGCAGGGCACTGCAAATAAAACCGCTTTGATACTTACAATTTATGGGGAGCAGGGGGATTCCCAATTTAACAAATCTCAGAATTGCCCTTAGGGGAGAAGGGAGAACTTGGAGGAAAAGTAACGGCACCAAAAAATTCAAATTTGGGCACCTTAGGGAGGAAAAAAGGGGGAAATAATTTCAAAGAGTTTTGGGGGGTTTGGGCCACGTGCCGAGTGTCTTGACGCCGGTGAGCATGCATCCCCATCACCTGATGGGTGCTCCCGGCCGGGGTCCCACGGGCACCCATCGGATGCTCCTGGCTCCTTCCCCTCCTCTCCAGCTGCGAAACGTGATTCACCTCCTGTGATTTAGGCAACATTCAAACCGCTGACCAGGGTCTTGGATGTTTCTGTTATATTAAAAAGGCGAGAAAAATTTTACAAAGAAAGGGAAAATACTGCAGAAGCAGAATAGCATGAAAATCCCCCCGTCTTTTTTTTTGCACAGAGTGGAGCCAGGCGATGGTTTCCATCCAAAATGGGGCCAGACAGACCAAAAGTCTTCTCCTTAGGGAATCTGCTGGGGCTGCCCAGCCCGATGCTGGGGGCTGCTTCATGCTCTGTTTGCTCCGAGCCCTCCTCATGACTTGTTCTCCTTCATCACGACAGGTCATCAAGCCTGGACCACTACGAAATCAGGTCAAACAGCTCCCTGGAGAGATACGACAGCATCGGCCCCCCCTTTCGTTGCACCTTTAAGGTAAGAAGGGGTAAACTGGCTGAGGGACCCCCCCCAAACGCCATGCCAGAGGTGGGATGTGCCATGGTCACCCTGTTCAACCCCGTCCCGTGGGACTCTGGCACCCTGGGCACATCCCTGTCCTCTGCCCTCGCAGCTACAGAACCTGGGCTTCTTCCCCGTGGAGGGCATGACCATCAAGATCACCGTCCCCGTGGCCAACCGCGCGGGCACCACCGCCTCCCGCTCCTGACCGAATTCGTGGCGGACCAGGTAGGGGGGGGGGGTTCATCCCCACTAAGCACATGCGGGTCCCCCCTGCGCCAGGGGTGGGGATGGAGATGCCCCACGGCGGGTCACCCCATCCTTTTGCAAACAGCCCCCCGCCCCGCGCTCACACCTGCACGGACGGTCTTGGCTCGTGCCTGGGCTTCTGCCTTTTGCATTCGCTTGGCTGGAAACATGGAAAATGGTAGCGGCCAAAGGGTTTAGTCCAAATATTTCTCTGAGCTAGACCTCCCTCCAGCATGCAACGAATTCTTGAGGGTCCTGAAAGCATTCGCTGTGCGTGGGGCGAACTGCACTTGAGTGCCCGTAACAGCGGTGGGAGGGCTGGGAGCAGATCCCGGGGCATCCCGGCTGGGGCGTGGGCCCGGGGCCCCCGCGAGCCCCCCTCCGCCCCTGCAGCCGTGCGGGGTTCACGTGCCGGTGACGGAAAGACCCCGGCACAGGAGACAGCATGTTTACGGATGGATTTGGTCTTGATGGGGACATTTTGTATTGCCAGCTCCAGCAAAGTCCCTGTGACACCCCAGCACACCCCATCCTGGATGGGGCTCTCTGCCAGGCTGATTGTTGCTGGGGGAGAGGCACAAAACACAGGAATTGGTTAAAGAAGGATGCCAGGCTCCTTTTGGGCCAGGATCTCCTCCGGCCTCGTGGTGCAGCGGTGGCAGCCCCCTCCCCAAGAGATTCCAGCACAGACCCCAG